GGGGAGGGAGTGGGGGTGCTCGGCCGGGGCAGGGGGCAGCCCCCCCCGGGGGGACGGGGAGTGGGGGTGCTCGGCCGGGGCGGGCGGCGTGGCCTGTACTCACATTACTCTGCGGGTCGATGGCCTGCAGCAGCCGGTCCCTGATCTGCTGCGGGGACGGGGCCGGAGCCGCTGTCATTGCCTGGGCGAAGCGGGGCGGCTGCGGCCGGGGCGGGCAGGCGGCGGGGCCGGGCCGGGCCGGGGCGGCGGCTCCTCACTCGCCGGCGGCAGCCTCCTCAGGGAGCCGCATGTTCGCTCCCCGCGCGGCGGGGGAGCGGCGCTCGGAGCCAGGCGCGACCGCGAGGGGAGGGTCGAGGCGGCAGGACTAGGCCGGACCCGTCTGCTCAGCTCAGGGCCGAACTCAACTGTGGGCAGGACTCGCAGAGCCAGCCCCGCGCAAGGCACCATGGGACACACCCGACGCCATCACGCACGGCGCGTCTGTGACGTGCCAACGCACGCACAGGCACGTTGAGCGAGTGCTCATGCTCGGTAGACGCCAAGGCGACCTGTTCGCAATACGCATGCGCCAAAGGTAGGCGAGGCAGAACATAGCGCCTATGCAAAGCCTGCGCCCTTCCACCCCACGTTACCGGCCAGGGGGAGCGGGAAATACGGAGCCAGTGCGGGAGGCGGCTCCAGCGTCTGCCGGGCTGCACCGGAGCGACAGCGACGGACTCAGCTAGGCCCTCCCCTTAGCCCCAGCAGCTGCTCCAGGCCCCGCCTTGCTCCCCTGGAGCGTCCTGGGCTGGAGTAGCAGGACTGAGGGGCAGCCCCAGAGCTGGGGCAGCGGCACTGCAGCGAGGGATTCAGGGGCACCAGCAGGGGATGGGTAGGGCTGGAATAATAGGGGGCTGCAGGTCAAGGGGTAATGGCAAAGATGTATGGCTGCAGTAAACCCACGCTGAAAGCAGCAAGGGTAAAGCGACAGGTCAAGATTAAACAGAAGGCCAATCTCCAGCTCTGGCTTAGAGATGTGCACTTGTCCTGGCAGTAACTGGGGGAAAAATAGCCTCTGCAAATCCCCACAGCTAATGCAAGATGCCCTCAGTAAAGAGAGTGACAACAGGGAGTCTTTCTAGCTGAAAAGCAGATTATATAATAAACACTATTTGAAGAAAATGGCCATTACTAAAAACACACACATTCCCATAATCTTCCAAAGATAATAGGAACATGCTGACCCATGTTAAAGATTAGGTCAGGATGATAGCATGATGGATAGAGATGTTTTGACTGAACCAACAGGTACAAGGCAATGGGTGGCAACCAGATACATCAGGCAATATGTAACTTGTTTGTAACAGTGTATAAAAAGGTATCTCAGAGGGAGTGTCTTTGGCCAACCTAGGGGGGGAATGGAAAGTCCCGCCATTTACTGAGCTGCGTCCATTGTCACAGGCATATGTCTTAGTATCCTCATAGAGTCTGCCAGGTGCTATTACCATGCTTCGTCAACAATAAACTTGGCCGGGCGCCTTCGTACCTTAACGGATCCTGTGGTCATTGGACAGTTTGACTGAGGTCTGCTGTGCTAACTATCTGCGCAGAGCTGGGACAGCACACAGAGAAAACATACATGCAGCCAAACATCTAACAGTCATACTTGCACTATGTGCTCAGCTCTGTATAAGGCACAAATAAGAAAACAGACCCTGCCCTAAGAAACTCACAATCTAAAATTTCATTCCACACAAAAAGTAAAGCTGTGCCATAAATCCCACACTCTGAAAATCAAAGTGGTCACTAAGTGGTCTGCCACACTAATCAAGGATCTAAACTCTTGGGTGCACTGCAAGAATAAGTAGTTCAAAGCAAACAATTTTAATCAGTTTCAGTGCAACAGTGTATAACTGCAATGGTAATGTGTGTAAACATTTCATTATTACACTTATAGCATCCGCTAAAGTGACTACTATCAATGCTTCATTGCATATTATCCATTTAGCCATAATATGGTTTATTATACATATATATAGTTAATAATAAATAATGGAGATATCCCATCTCCTAGAACTGGAAGGGACCTTTGAAAGGTAATCGAGTTCAGCCCCCTGCCTTCACTAGCAGGACCAAGTACTGATTTTGCTCCAGACACCAAGTGGCCCCCTCAAGGATTGAACTCACAACCCTGGGTTTAGTAGGCCAATGCTCAAACCACTGAGCTATCCCTCTTCTAGTATAGAAGAGCTCTGTGTAACTTGAAAGCTTGTACCTTCCACCAACAGAAGTTGGTCTAATGAAAAATATTACCTCACCTACCTTGTCTCGATAATATAGTTTGGCATATTTGTAGTGTTCGTATAGCTCGAACATTTTCTACCTCCGAAATTAGAACATATTGAAAAGTGTTACTTCGGGAAGAGAATGCAACTTGTTCTACATGGAATTGACCAGAACTTTAGTTACACCTACAAAACATTGCTCTGAATAACTGATAAAAATCAAGAGAATGGTGGACACAAAATAGAGCTGAGCGCTACTCTGATGATTAAGGGGACCTCTAGTGGCTTATTCATAAACTGTAGGACCATCCTCTTCAATACACTAGTTAAGTATTCACTGAGGAAGAGTTAGATAAAAATTAGTGTGGAAATACTTTAAGAGTCATGAATTCTAAAAACAGTAGATTTTAATTAGATGCATATCATGGAAAGGACAGCATCTCTTCCCTTTTCAACAGATGTGCATGGGACAACTGAACTTTCAAATATAACCCCATCCTACAGGTTATTCTTTGCAAACTGAAATATCTCAAAAAAGATCCTTGCCAATCATGGCTAGGGAAGAGCAGGAGGGAGATTTTAATGTGTCTCTTAGTAAAGGCAAAGGCCAGCTGCCCTTAGACAGGCATTAGAGAGACCCATTCTCAAGAATGCAACATAGGTTAGAAAGTTGGCAGTAATGAATGATGTTATAATAGTTAATTGTCAAGGTGCCCACAGCCTCTGTAAAAGCATTTTTTTATGACTTGGTTTTGTAGGAGAAAGCAATGTTGGGAGTAGCCACATATTCATCCCATGGTTTGGTTTCAGACAGGACTATAACAGACATAGAATTACTCTCAAAATACCTGAATTATTCAACCAGATGACAAAGCATGATCTCGCCTTCTCTCACCACCAGTCAAACCTTTCCTGTAGTTGTCATCTGCTCTTGTCCTTATCTTAATTTAGGCCCCAATTTGCTTAAAAACATTGTAGTCATAAGAAGTCCCATTGAACAAAATGGGACTAATGTGCATGCAGTTAAACCCATGCATAAATGTTTGCAGGTTCAGGGCCTGAAACAAAATTCTTCAGGAATTCTATTTTTATGTGCAGTGCTTTATCAAACATCTCCAGCGCTGTATAAAAACTTTACTTTTCCCATATTTTCTAGGAAAACATTAAGTACAAACATAAGAAAGTAAAAAAAATAAATAAAAGGCAGTATGGCATGGGGCTATATACAATTGGAAAAGAGTTACAAAAGAGCATTAAAATAGGGTCTGGTTCATTTAGAGTTAGCCTGGGGCTGCAAGCATTCCTGTGTGGTACAGACCTCTCAGCAGAAATCCTTCCCAATTTATCAATCTAGGTAGATTGCTGCAATTCATTCTGGTTGGGGTTACTCCCAACAAAGGCGCAAAAACTAGAGCGGAATAAAGCTGCTCCTCTTCACTGAGCACCTTCTGGAGCACATAATACATTACCTATGTACTACCTATTATACAGTCCAAGGTATTAGTTACAGTCTACAGACTAGGACCCACTTATCAGAGTCTTCTCTCTCCTTCTCTGAAGTTACAACCCCCTGGATTCCTCTCCATTCTAGGAGTTAAATTATATGGCTGGTATCAGGCTCTTCACAGAGGAGAGTCTACGCCTGTGGGACCTGATCATTCCAGAGATGAAGTTTAGGGAGTTTCTGGGCACAGTGTAAAATTTGCTTTCTTAGGCAAGCTTCCTGATTTGACTGGTTAATAGGAACTAGGACTGTGAGGGTTCCACTGCTGGGCTTTTTATAATAAACAGCTATTTCTTTATCCCTTAATTATTTTAGTTATATAGGACACCAAAGCTACTTACCAACGGAGGCCAATATCAATTCATACATAAAAATAAATAAATGCTGGAGAAAAAAAGAGTCACAATTACAGGACAAACCAATTAACTCTTAGACCTTCTCAGCAGTTCTACAATGAAACTGACTCTTGCTAGTTGACTCTACTAGGAGCTAACAGAGTACCAAGCAGCTTTAACCCTCTCAAAATAAAACTACTCTCTTCAAATCCATTTACATATTACCCACCAGAGCTCAACAGGGATGTATAATCTGAGCCATTTTTATTGAAATCTCCAGTACTGGTTTGGGAGATGAACAATTTACATAAACACAATCACCAACACTGATTTAAGAAGTCTGATTACACTAAATTTGGTAACTATCTTAGATGTGTGCTATGAATCTAGAACATGCATATGGCATATTACATATCAACTGATAGAAACAGCTTATCATTTAATTGATATTTAAATTACAGAAGCTATAAAAACCTTAATTACATTTAGCACTTTTGCATGAAAGAAACATGAATATTGTAACTGCTATTAACAAGATAGTGCACTAATAGCAAGTACAAAAATATGCTGACATACAGTAACTCCCTTAGGCCTAAATTAAATGTTTACTTAAATGCTGTTTTACCACATAACTTGGAAAACCTGAAGAGAAAGAAAAAAAAGACTGAAGAATTAATTATTCTTAAAATTTTCTTTTCAGCCTGTTCTGATGTGTAGATTCTCATAATACTTAAACGAACTTCCAAGATCTCAAGACCTGTTACTTCTTTTGATGATGAATTTGTGTTTTTTTAACCCACAGATTCTTTGGAGCTTGTTCCTGAGCTGCTGGACCTTCTTTATTGGAATTTAATTGTATAAGTAACAGTGTCTGTATACTCATTCTCAGTTATTTCAACTTCAAGGACATTTATAACCAACTTGGGAAAGGCTTAATTCTGGTGGCCTCTACTCTACTAACTCCATAGCCACAAAATCTACCTGTCTCGGTAGGTAGATTCTCTAGAGCAGTTTGCAGGCAAATACTATCTTTGATACAGTGAACAACATTCTTTTCCTCTCCCCATAAGTTATTCCTTTATTGCACAGCCCCTGACATCTAGATATTTAGAGTGCTACACAGCTCTCTATAGTCAGATACAAAACTGGCAATCATTAAAATTACAGCAATATAACATTGTTTTGCTTAACTTTATAAAAATGCCTTACAAATGGCAAAATTGGTCTCAGACAAAAGAGCAGTGGCTCCTGAAATAGCCTATACTATGCTATAACAGACTAAGAGCAAGGAGTGACTAAAAGCAAAGATTCTTGTGACCATCAGATGTTGTTGTAGTTCTACAGTACACCAAG